TGATGTCGGTTGTGTAGTGCTGGTTTTGTGGCTGCCTGCGCCGCTAGGTCTGCCAGGGTGGCGTAGTTTGCATGCGGACGTTCTCCACAACTGCATGATGAAATTCTGCACTTGTTCACCGAACCCATTTGTTGTGGAAGCTTTGCAAGCAGGCAGTAGCTGGCGACTAGCTGGCGGCAGGGATGTACCAGGTACGTGTACCAGTTCAGGCCATTTCTTCGCGACTGGGATGTAGAGACTGGAAGGACCTTGACAAGAGGGGACTTCGATTCTCAAGCCGCCCATCTATTTTTCGAACAAGTGACGGATCACTGATTCAAGACCCGTAGCAAAACGTGGAAAGGTCTGGACTCAGCGGCTGGTGTTTCAAACCCTCCTAGTTTCGCAAACAGCCGGGGTGACTTGAATGTGTGGATTTAAGCTCCAAACTGATGTCGATCACACCGTTCGTCGCAAATTATTGTAGCGAAAGCCCGCAACAAGCTTGACCATCGCCTTTGATCGAGCCTCCTGAACTGTTCCCTGTTCGATGCGACTAGTCGACCCTGCCAGCGCAGTCATGGACCAAGCTACAAGAAGAGGCCATCGCTGGCTGCGCTGTTTACCGGCTTCACAATCCTTGGTGGATCACCGAGATGAAGTTGTCAGTAGAAGTGGACTTGCCACCAGCATGATCTCGAAACACTGGACTCACTAAGCTGGCTATGCATCACCAACCCCACTCTGCCGAACCGAAGGCGACTGCAGCCTTGGCGCATGGGATATCCGATGCCCGCACTGCCTGCCAGAGCCTCGGGCACCGAGGCCGCCAGGGTCTGTCGGACACCCACGCCGCAGTGCTCGCGCACTGCCTGAAAGGGCCATGGACTGAGAAAAAGGCTCAGTGCCTGGGCATCTTGCAATTGCGAGCAACTGCAGGACTTGATTGGAGCGTGTGTCTACCCACGATGCCTGTTTAATTTAAGCTGCACACCCGGGATTATGGAGACCTGAATTTGCTATCCTTCAAGTGCCACAGTTTCAGAATGGCCAACATGCGAGCTCTACTGAGACGGACCATGACAAGACCACGCCTTGCAGAATCAATCAAGCAGGCCTGCTGCATCTGGAACTTGTCCACACGCAGTCTCGATGTGCTGGCATCATTGGCCAAGGGCAAGCTGAGTGCACTGGAAAGCTGGTCGGCGAAGGGAACCAACTCCTGGCGCTCCCACCCGCACATCATCTTAAGCCAGCCTGCGTCGGGCCACTAATCTAGACATACCGTTACTCGCGCTTCCATCGACTCAGCTGATGTCATCGCAGGTTCATATTGCACATGGCTCGCAGGATGTGCGAATCATAACTTCTTCGGCATGCTGTTCAGCACGGTCAATCGTTCCCCGAGCATGGAAGCTTTGGCTCCTCGAAGGCAGAGGGAACGGCAGCCAGCAGATCCACCTGCATCGTTATTTTTGCCGAGGGAACCATTCCCAGCGATGCCACTTCAAACCTCCCACAACCGAACAAACTCATCCATCCTATCTTCGTGCTCCAAGAAGAAATCGATCCGGGATGGAACCCTGATTTAGATCGCATTTTTTACGGTGGTCTCAAGTACGTAACCACAAGGCTGAAGGCTTCTGAGCGTGTCCACCCCTGCGGAAGCATTTCGCACTTTCGCAGCTGCAGTAGCCACGTCCACGTCCTCCTCAGAAATCTCGCATATCATCACTGGGATCAAACCAACATTTTGCAGCGGATGGCAGCCACCCAGTGATGACAAGTGTAGCAAACCGACGCAGATTGAGGTCATCCGCAACACAGCCCAAGGGGAAGCTGCCAGAGCTGGGCCGCAAACATCTCACACGCTAAAGCTCTATGAGGATTCTTCTTCTCTGCTTTTAGCATGTGCATGACTAGCATGACTACTGCCATTGCCAGTATAGCTCCAGCACCCGGTCCCAATTGCAGCCAGCGGCCGAGCTCTGCCCGGGTGCATCCACACAACGGTAGGAGAACGCCTTCCCGAAAGTGCAACAGGAGCTTTCCAGGATTCCGCGTGCAGCCTCTAGAATCTAGAAAGCTCAGGGCAGTAGCCAGAAGCGGTGAGTTCCTTGGGTATCCTTTCTCCCTCGCGCTCAAACTTTCTGACAACTTCAACCCGATTCTTCCCCGACATCCCGAGCCCCGGAAAGCCCAAACTGACACAAAGGCCTAAGTCACCACATTTCACGCTCGCCTTCTCGAGGTTCGCCACCCGGCCACCCGAGTTTAGTACGTCCTCAACCGATTCCAACAAAATGGCTCTTAGGAGACTTGGGCCCGAAAAAACTGGGCCTCAGGAGACTGCAGCTACCTGCCATGCTAACCAGGTCGCACTGCAGGATTGTGGACTTGGCTACGAGTAAGTCTGGAAGTGGCTTTCTGTTGCGATTGCCTGAACACCAAACTGTCACCAAACGAAGTCCTCGACGTACTCGTGAATCCGGCGGTCGACGAAGCAAGCCCCCGGAGTGCTGCTCCTCCGAACCTCCGTTTGCAGAAGATGATGCTTGGGAGTCAGGGCTTCGAAGTTAGAGTCCGGACATGGAGTATGCATGCGGTACACATGAATATAGATAGGATGCACCGCCTTGGTGCCGAAGCACATGAGTATGCATGTATGTGGGTGTGTATGTATATATATATATATCCAAGGCAAGCAGAAGCAACATCCCTTCTGCACAAACCACGGCACTGGAGAACCCCGAACTTCACCCACGAACCCAGAAAGCCCCAGAAAGCCCGGCCGGAAGGCAACCGAAAAATTCCGAGAAAAGGTGCGCCTCCACGGCGTGCCGAAGCCCCTGGCCGTGGAAAGCCAGGAGGAGGCCCCGGAGGCCTTGGTTTCCTGGCGGCGGATTGCGGCACCGACTCGGTAAGTATGGCCACGAAATACCCTAATTAGGGAAAACAATTTAAGTGTATGTGGCGACAAATATTATTGCTATTAAATATCTTCCTTAACGTGATGCTTAGGTGGCAAGTGTAGCTAGCCTAAGCATACCCATGCTGATTTGTTGACACTCGCAATCGGACAATCCAAGCAAGGTCTATTCCCTGATCCTTTCACCAGGTGGTACTATGTACTATACAGGTTTTATCTGGGTAAGGGGTGGCGCGCTCTGTAGCTGCGGGGTCTACAGTCTGACGTCTAACTCCTAGGGAGGGTAAGATCGCGGTAGTCTACGGTGCCGCATGTAGTCTGGTGTGTACGGGTGTGGTTGGGGGCATCTCTTCCTGGGAGGTGTAGTGCAGGACAGAAACATGGAATATGGCTTCTATACCATAGGGCGCGGCATAACGTCATGTAGTATGACGACTTATTGCCTTACTGCACACAAGTGACACTTTCGTACAATGGTACTTGGCTTCGGGACTGTGTTCAGCTGATTTGCCGAAGGCATAGGCAACAGCCAAAATGCGGAGGGCATGGTACCGTGATAGAACCCTTGTAGTGGCCCATGTTGTACCCCATATGCTAACCGTTTACACTGGCCCGTAGAGTACCCTCCTAATCTGACGTGAAGTCCTCGGCCGCCCCGCATATCCGGCGCCACGAAGACGACCCCTTCGATGGTCAGGCTGGGAGACGGCAGAGGCTACAAGCTTTGGTTCCAGTGGATGTTAGGCCCTAAGGTGCCTGCAAAGCCAGACCGGGAATGCCAGCTTAAGGGCGACCTTCAACAGCTAACTCTGAGACAAAGCAGTCAACCTTGAAACTCCTGCGACATCCCGTCAAGCCCCTTGGCTCCAACTCGAAAACCCACGCCGGGAGGCCTTTCTTCCGTTCCTCACAGCATGCCGGCGCCAGCGTACTTCCCCCTGCAGCCGCTGTGGCAGCCACGCGCCACACAACGCGAGGACATCGAACCATCGCCGCGAGCTGAAAGCTCAAGGTACATTGCAGAAGTGTATATGTGTATACATACATACATACATACATACATACATACATACAGACAGACAGACAGACAGACAGACATACAGACAGACATACATACATACATACATGCAAAC